GTTATGTAACAATCCCATTATGTAAAAACAAAACTACACTTCTGCAATAATGCATATCCACAGGGCATAGGGAAAGTTCTGGATAAACACCAAAGTGTTGACAGTGGCCATCTCTAGGAAGTGGAAGTTGATGGGAGGGAGGTTATGCACGTCTTTCTTGATGCTTGCCAATATTGTTTGAACTTTGGTCCATAAGCATTCTTTATTTTTACAATTTTTATAAAAACAATGAAATTTTATATGTAAATAAGTGACATGTAGGGGCAACAACAATAACAAAAACCCAAAACAAAGATGACCATACTGAGTAAATGCCCGCCTTGGGAATCATCTGAATCTTCAAGCTCTGATGCGTTGCAAGGGAAAAATGCTGAGCTGTGAGTTTTCCGGGGGTTGATCCCAGCCAAAAGGCTTGTTTCGGTCTTGGTCTATTTTGAACTGTTGTTCATCTTGTTCTTCCCAAAGATAATCAATTCTGTCACCTCTCAGGGAAAAAAAAAAAAAAAATCAATAACCTCCAACAGACCTGCCTGGGATCCGTAATGTTCGGCTCTCTGGGCACTTACGTGTATTCCTAGATTCCTATATGACAACAGAGCCTTTTTTAAAAAAGTTATTACGTTCTTGGAGGCATCTTTAATGCATTCATCTTTTGTGAAAAAGAGAACTTTTTAAGCATTTGTCTTGCCTTAATGATGAGAATCTTTTGTCCATATGTTGGCATTTAACCTGGAAGCGGCAGGCCAAGACGTCTCATTTATTTGTGTGTGTTTGTACGTGTGCACACATGTGCATGTATATGAAGTAGAATAAGCCTCATGCAGGCACAGGTTCCTGTCTGTTTCCCTCACTATCCTATCCTCAGCGCCTGCAGTAGTGGCTGGTAAACTCATCCCCTGGTATACTCGGGGGATTCGTTCCAGAACCCCTATGTATATACCAAAATCCACGCATATTCAAGTCCCACAGTTGGCCCTGTGGAAGCCATGTATACTTTGGTTTGGCATCCTGAGAATACTGTATTTGTGATTAGTGGTTGGAAAAAAATCTATATATAAGCAGACCTGTGTGGTTCAGACCCATGTTGTTCAAGGGTCAACTGTATATTAAAGTTGCTCAGTAGGTAGACATTGGACGATTATTTGTGTGTGTTGGGGAGTATCAGTGTGATACACAGATTTCTCTTTCCCTTTCCTAGCCTTTTCCAAAACCACTTTGGTATTGGTCTTTAAGAATGACTTTTCAAAGATAAATACCCCACGAGTGGGTTAGGGAAGCCATGTGTGGCGTCATCAGTTTTTTTTTCAGCTAGGATGTTTCTGGTCGCGAGGAACAAACACCTAACTAGCCCAGCCTACAAGTATAATTCAGTGTTTCCTGTCCCACAACAAGTACAGGCTCTAGACCAGGCAGCTTCAGTCCATCTCTCTGCTCTGCCATCCCTGGCTAATAGCGGAGTGGCTACAGCCATTCCAGGTATCATGTCCAGATGTGACAGCATCCAGAGGCAGAAAGAGAGAGGGTCTTCGATTCTTGAGTCCCTATTTAAGAATGGGAAACCTTCCCTCAAAGCCCCCAGAAGACTTCCCATCGCCTCTTAGAGTTGGAAAGAGGTCACGTGCCCATGTCTAAACCCACCACGAACAAGGAAAGTGAGACTACCATGACTGATTTGGACTTGGATTGGTCTGCTCGGGCTCCCATAACAAAATACTTCAGACTAGAGGCTTAATCTACAGACTTTATTTTCTCACGGTTCTGGAGGCTGGAAGTTCAAGATCAAGGTGCCAGCAAGATTGTTTTCTGGTGAGGCCTCTCTCCTTAGGTTGTAGACAGCCGCCTTCTTGCTATGTCCTCGCGTGGCTCTTCCTCTGTGTACATGTATCCTCGGTGTCTCCTCCTCTTCCTATGAGGACACCAGCCCTGTGGGATTAGGGCCATAGCCTTCTGACCCCATTGAACCTTAATATCTCCCTTAAAGGCCTTCTTTCCAGATACAGTCACATTGGGGGTTAGGGCTTCGACATACGAATGTGGTGGGGATGTAATTCAGTCCGTAACAGGACCCAACCTGGTTTATGTGGGGCTGAGACAGAAGTCTGAATAAAATCAGGGTTCGGTGGGCGGAGATACCAGCAGTAAGTCCATGGTCAGCTATCACCTTAATTATTTAGGCAATACCTACGACACAGAGGGGCACAGCTGGAAAGGGCGGAATTGCACTTAAGATGATCCTTCTGTTTTTTGACTTCAGGGCCAGACTTTGATACTAATCTCATTTCCACCACTTACTAGGAAGTGGCTTAACCTATCAGAGCTTTGGCTTCCTCGTCTGTGAAATGGGGTTGTGTTACATGGGCCTCACAAGGCTGTGGTGAAGAGTAAATGAACACTTAGCCCGGCCCCTGGGGCACTGCTGAGTGTCCTTGATTAGCTCCTGTCCTAGGGTCGACCTTCCCCAAACCACTGCCCTAAAGGATACTTCTTCCATTGATTAAAAAAAAAAAAAAATAACAGGAGCTCTTTTAAAGATACGTAATTGTCTTAAGATAGCTCCAAAGCCATTAAC